TGAACTACGATTGCCTTGTCACACACCCTCAGCAAGTATCACGATTCGTTTTGGCTGAAACTTTCTCCTATTGTTGCTATTCTTACGACCTAGAAACGTCGTCATGGGTATCTGGCTATACTATCTTGTGCCCGCGGCAGTGGGCCTGGCCGCAGCCTTTGCCTACTATCGGTATTGTCTCATGGCTCGGTCAAATTATTAAAGACAGCTCCCGCGATAAAAGTGTCATGGATAGTTGCAATTATGAAACAGTAGCTGATAAGTTATTCCCCAGAGAAGACAAAAGCAAGAGTTCTCAAGAACACTACAAATGAAATTGCTCACAGAAAGGTCCAACAGGTCAGCCTGGCCATTTGCAATGAGATGCACATCACTGTACTCATCTTTACACGCTGAACTCAGAACTGCCTTCAGAATTTGCAGAACGATTCTCTGAGCGGAGTTATTGAGTTTTTCTTTACTGTTTTCTTCTTACGGGCGCGCTGGCACACAGAAGCTTGGCCGGTAGCCGCACTCATTACGCGCTCTTCGCGCAAAATAGGTATCATATTCGTGTTCAGGGGGTCAAATAACCCCTAGGGACGTCACCTTAGCGAAATCTGAGCTTCTGACTCAACTTCGTAAAAATGGGGTATGGATAGTCATGGCTAACTGATAGCTAACATCGATACTATGACTAGCATACTGGTGATGACTGGTCATCGAACTGAAATAACTCTTCAGTCATGTCTTTTTGCAAACAACAGTACCTGGCTTACTTGTTCGTGCCGTTGCCACACAATTCTTCTTGACTGTCGGGAGGAAATCCCATTCCGAGACCAGTCATCGATGGTAGGTGAGCTCCAATCTGCTGCTAATTACCCATGGAATAGCCCACATTTTCCGAATGGTCGAAAAATCAGATTCGGCCAGAAACTTGTCCCCAGGGGTAATTCGACCCGCTGAACATGAATATGATGATATTTCATTACAAAAACCCTTGTGACACGTGTTACGAGGGGTACAAGCAGAAAGCACTCTTTCAGGCCGCAATGGGTCTACACTTTCGAAAAAAACTGATTGCAGGTTCCCTTGTAGGGTAGTGCAGGCGAGCAGAGATGTTAGAAGCTTTGTCGGCTATGTTCTTGGACAAATGCAAAAAAGGAACCTGCTCAGAACCGATCCTACGACGTCCCGCCTAAGAAACCCGCTCCCTATCCGTTGCGCTCTGCTGCCACGTTTCAGAACGATTCCATACGTAAATGTAAAGACGCTTCAACGTTTCCTCGCGACAGCACGTGAAACGACCATGCGGGGATAAAACCCTTCATAACTCCGTTCAGAGAATCGTTCTGCAAATTTTGAAGACAGTTCTGTGTTCACCTTCCCAAGACGCGTACAATGGTGTGCAGCTCATTGGAAATGGCCGGGCTGACCTGTTGACCTTTCCTGGTCAGTGCAGTCACACCTTCCTGCGGTCTCTGTGCAACCCCTGGCTCACAATTTCCTTTATCACATCTCCCAGTAGTGGGTATCATCCAATGCAATGAAAAGAATACGAAAAACATCAAAAACGCGGAGGAAGACTCTTGAAAGAAAGAAACTTTCAAAAACCAGGCCGTCTGAAATTTAGTGGTTACGGCAGCGGCATTCGTTTGGTGCACGCTACCGTACCCTGAATTCAGACGCCATAGTTGTGGTGCCGTCGAGCTTTTGCACACGAAAATGGCCGTCGCCTCGTGATTTTTACGCGTTTACCTTGCAAGATGGGTTGAAGTTGACTGTATGTGCTCCTATTAATAAAATATAATAAAGGAGAGGAGAACCATTCATGGGCACGAGCGCGCCGTCGAGCAAAAAGGCGAGTGCGAATCCGACTACATCCTCGCCGCCCCAACAAAGAGCAACTGAGCGGCTCTTCGTCAGAGGGCATCTAGCAAGTGGGCGGTCCAACTGGGCGGGCGTTAGAACTAGAACTTTCAACAGCTGTAGCTCGCTCCTCGCTCGTTGTGGAGTCGCGAGAGTGGGACAGTCTCCTACCTTGAGCATTGAACTGCCTGCACAGGCACTGTTAGCTTTACTGCCCCAGCCATCCGAAATAGGCCAGTTTTCTCTGAGCCGACTTTTTTCTCCGTGGGCAGAATTTGCTGAAAACTTGGCTCCGGGGGTAGTTCGACCCGCTGAACACGAATATCGCATCCGCTTAACCCGAAACCTCCTGGCGCCCGCGCCACGGGCGCCGGCGCCAAAATACTCGAAATCACCAAATTCGCTGAAAACTTGCTCCCAGGGGTAGTTTGACCCCTGAACACGAATATCACATCCGCTCAACCCGAAACCTCCTGGCGCCCGCACCACGGGCACCGGCGCCAAAATACCCCAAATCATTGGCGCCTGTGGCGCGGGCGCCAGGAAGTTTCGGGCTGAGCGAATGTGATATTCGTATTCTGGAGGTCAAACTACCCCAGGAGACAACATTTGAGCAAAATCTGCCCACGGAGAAAAAAGTCGGTCAGGAACTGGCCTGATTTCGGATGACTGGGGCAGTAAAGGGTAAATAGTGCCG